GGAAAGGAGTTATGCATGCATTTGGGCCAGAGGATGTCACCATGGTGGTAGAACGAATAATCAAACAGAAATAACCCCAAAGGGGAAAGTGAAATTCAAGGGGTAAGAAAGAATTTGTTTATCCTCTCCATCCCATCCCCGCCCTCAAAACAAACAAAACAAAACAAAACAAAACCTAGAGTACTCCATGGCTAAACCTTGGTGTTAGAAACCTGGGTTTCTACATGTTCTTTCAGAACAAAATGGAAATGCTATTTCATATGCTACCTTAAAGGGTCTTCACTCAAACTACTGGGTAAAGGAAGCAGACACACAATATTACTGTCTCACTTTTTCAGAAACAGTCGTCCCTCAGTATTCATAAGGGATTGGTCCCAGGGCCCCCAACAGATAACAAAGTCTACTGATGCTCAAGTCCCTGATAAAAACAGTGTAGTATATGCATATGATCTACACACATCCTCCTGTATACTTGAAATCACCTCTAGATTACTTAAAATATCTAAAACAATGTAAATGCTATGTAAAGTTATATTTTATTTTTTATTTATTTTATTTTTGTTATTTTTTATTTTTTAAATGTTTCCAAACATTTTAGATCTGTGACTGGTTGAACCCAAGGATGCAGAACCCACAGATATGGAGGGCCAACTGTATTCTTAAACTTCAAAAAATACAGAATTTACCAGATTTTCAGATAAGCCTAGTTCGCAACTAGGTGATTCACTGCGACATAAAGATTTATTTGATTCTAATAGGATCACCCCTCAGAATAAGCCCTTTCTCTTTCCTGGAGTAGGAAAGTAAATTTACACACCACAAAATGTTTCAACCCAATTTTTAAATTTAAAATGTGTCAGTTTTGATCAATAATTTAAATTAGATGTGGTCACTTTGGTTAATTTTGGGTGGAAATGAGTACTGAATGTTTATTCTAGACATCTGGGCCGTATTCTTGGTTCTGCCATTTATAACCCTGAGCAAATTATTGAAACTCTCAGTTTCCTCATATGCACAAAGAGGGAGTTAAGCTATACAACACTAATTCCATGGAAGATACTTTTTTTTTTTTTTTTCTTTTTTGAGAATCTTGCTCTGTCACCCAGGCTGGAATGCAATGGCACTATCTCAACTCACTGCAACCTCCCCTCCTGGGTTCAAGCAATTATCTTGCCTCAGCCTCCCCAAGAAGCTGGGATTACAGGTGCCCACCACCACACCCAGTTAATTTTTTTTGTATTTTCAGTAGAGATAAGGTTTCCCCACTTTGGCCAGGCTGGTCTCGAACTCCTGACTTTGGGTGATCCACCCACCTTGGCGACCCAAAGGGCTAGGATTACCGGTGTGAGCCACCACCATGCCCAGTCAGAAGATACTTTTTCAAAAATATAAACACAATTAATTAGGTACCCTGTGACATGTTTCTGTTAAAAGCAAACAAACAAAGGATGGAGATGGAGAAAAATTCAAAATGTCCAGAGATCAACCTTTTGAATCTTTCTCCTGTGAGAATTTTATATTTCCAGTCACAGTGATCAGGGATATCATCCTAAAGGGGAATGTATCACTGAAGAGAGAAAACAAAAAGGCCAAGTGAGTGATACTGTTCTCTAGATAAATTCAGGGTTAAATTTCTTCTTCCCGTGAAGTTATTCCATGCATATGACAAAGTCTCACAAGGTACCTTTTAGTGTATTATTTAAGCATAACCACTATACTGTAATCCCTGAAACATGTAAGTTCAAATCAGCAAAATCTAATACTATGTATGCTACTTACTGGCCATTGAAGAAAAAAAATTATTGAAAGTCTGCCAGGTAGCTACTTTTGAAGTTATATTTTAAAATATTGATTTTTATAGGGATTCTAATGAAGATTTAAAAAGACGGGGGAAAAATGCGCTTAAAAATAATGTAAACTTGAACAGGCTGATCTACATAGATCTTCTGTACCCCCCTGAAGATCATCACATTTTCAGAATTCTAAGTTTTCAGCACTAAATATCTCCCTAATCTGCTATTTTAGGTGAAGCCAATAGAACTGATTTAATGATAGGGTTTCCATATTTTAGCATCTATTTCTTTTTAGGTTCTACAAGTAAATAAGTACATAGATTTGAATACTAAGAAAAATGGTTTGGGCTAGGTGTGGTGGCTCACGCCTGCGATCCAAGCCCTTTGGAGGCCAAGGTGAGTGGATCACCTGAGGTCAGAAGTTCAAGACCAGCCTGACCAACATGGTGAAACCTCGTCTTTAAAGAAAAAAAAATTTTTTTTCTTAAATTAAAAAAAGAAAAATGGTTTGTCAGTGACAATAACAGAGAACCCCAAGTGTAGGAGCAAACTCAGGATATAAGAACTAAAATGAGTGAAAGCCCTTCTGTGAGAAATTTTCCTTCCAGTGCTCTTTTTCTGCCATTAAACCTTTGTGACTATAAATTTTAACATGGTAAGAAGTCCCTAATTAAAGACCTAGTAAAAGCCACCTGAAAGCCTAGGAGATCCTCCTGCCTAGTCTGTTCAGGACCTAGCAGGAATTACATGAAACTCAAAATTCCCAGAAAGATACTAGCCCCACAGATTACAGTACTACTGCCTTTATGAGTCACTGCCACACACAGGCAGCACAGACTGGTGTGAGAAACATAAAACAGACAATTTGCAATACGAAGTAGCAAATGCTACAATGTAACACTGCTGAAGATTTGTAACAATTTAACAAAGCAAGGTGGGACTCAAGCTTCTGTAGAGGCCCTGCCCAGAGAATTCTGACTGGCAGGGGCATTCCAAGGTCAACTGCATTAGACTTCACGGAGAACATCTACAATCTGGTGCACTCCTTGGCAATACAGTTAAAGAGGAAAATAAAGCCTAGTTCCCTGCCCTGGAAGAGCACAAGAGACCAAAGAAAACAAAGTTATCATGCGTTCGGGATCCAAAAAATAAGACTACTCTTTCCAGAGCAGAGGTCATGTCAGGAAGGAGTGAAAGACTGAGTTTGTAAAATTAAAATATAACTAGTGTGAAGAATCAACGCTCAATCTAATGAGAAATGGAGAGAAAGGGAAATGAAAGAGTGATCCAAGGTTATTCAAGACACCCTTGTGGGGTAAAGAAACTGAGAGGAGAGATTCCTATTGAACAAAAACAAAACTGAAGACGGTGAGTTTTAAACTCTGCAATCTGTTACGCCAGTGCTGTTCTTCGAAAAAAACTATAGGTACAATAATGCGTTAGGGTTAAAGGAACCAGGCCGGGAGCCAAGCCCTCTGTGCTCAATATTCAACTCCATCACTTTCCGGCTATGTCGTTTTTGAGGAAGTTACTTAACAGCTCTGTGCCTCAGTCTCCTCACCTGTAAAATGGGGTGGATGAATGCCTTTAAAACCAGGAGGGGCTTCTTCAAAACACAGTTGTGATTACATCTCTCTACTGATCAAAAACTGTATTCACAAAATCAAATCCACATCTTTCGCGAACCATATCGATCTTGTATAGGGTCTGCAAGCAATATGCGCTTCCATGTCTCATCTCCGGCAGCTCTGTGCTAGAAAGCCTTTTCCTTACCATCTTACTAAGTCCACTTTAGGAAATTAACTCTCTCTCCCATTCCACTGTGCACTCGTCTGTTCCTCTGTACGGTTTAGCACTAATCCCCCAGGTTTTGTTTGGTCTTTTAACGCTCACTCTTTCTTCTAAAGGCAGTAATTTCAGAGAGCCAAGGCAAATCTTTTTCATCGCTGTTCCTACACTTCATCCCAGAATGTGCCTGTGCAAGCCTGGGAAAAGCGTTACTGAATTAAATCGGATGATTACTACCGTAAAGGCCGCAGTTTCAGAAACTGCCTAATTTCGCATAATTTCGCATTGCTTTCAAATTCTGAAAATCTTCACACGAAAGGCCTCTTCAAATCAGAACACCATCCTTTCAAGAAAAGTTCTACCGAGCACCCCCACGAGTTGACAATGCGGTCATTCTTAGCTCCAGAAGTTGTGTGTGCGCCGCGGAGGGCAGCTGCACACTGGCCCACACTGCACTTTGAAATAAGGGGCAAGAAGAGGCGGCTCCGGAGGCAGCGAGGGCTACGCTCCTCTCTGCCTTCAACTTCCTACGGGCCCGCGGGCTCCGGCCGCGTTCGTCCCTCTCCGCCGCACTCCGTTCCCAGCCCTCGCCTCCCCTGGTCCGGCCGCAGCAACACCCCTTCCCTGAAGCGGCGGCGCGGATCGCGCTGCAGTTCCTCCCGGCGCTCCGCTTGCCCGAGTCCTGGCCTGCCACCCGCCCGGCCCGCGGCCCCTCAGCCTCTCCCCAGGCCCGCCGCCCGGGGCCCAGGCCGCCGCCGCCGCCCCGAGGGGAGCTGAGGGGACTCGCTCGGCTCCGCGTGGCGCCGGGGGCGGAGCCGGCCCGCAGGGCCCGCGGAGAGGCCGGGGGTGGACTGCGGCCTCCGCCTACCCCGACACGCACCCCGCCGCCCCCAACCCGACCTCCTTGGGGCCCCGGCCCGCGCCCGCGGCCCGGCAGCCGGCGAGACTCGCCACTTACCAGCCCGCCTGGGACAACGCCGCGCCGGGGACCTCGGCCATGGTAGCTGCTTAGGCCGGGGGTGGTGGGGGGGACTAGGGTGGGGGTGGTGGGGAGGCCTCCTACTTGAGACCCCCCCCCTTAAAAAAAAAAAAGAAAAAAGAAAAGAAAAAAACTCCTCTGGTCGGCTCTGCAACTGGGCATGCTCAGTACGGCCGGCGCTTCCGCGTGCGGGTTCCGCTCGCCGCGTTTTCTGAGCGGCCGTAGGGGCCGGCCTGGTGTGGGGCTCCCAGGCTGCGGAGCTCCGGGGCCTGATCCACCAGACACGAGCTGGGGGCGCTGGAGTCTGAGGACCGCTGAGGGACTTTGCCTCTTCACCGAAGGTTTTTACTTGTTTTGGGGGCCACTTTTCTGAGTTGCACACCTTGGAAAGTCGTGGGGAGGTTCTTCGTAGAGCAGAAGTGTGGAGTTTGCAGCGCCGACAGGCGGTCACCTCAGAGAGAGCAGGATGAGGCCAGAGACGGAGAGCGCGTCCAGGACGGCCCTAAAAAGGCCACGTTTCGGGCAGTAAGACTCAGAGGTGTCCCCAGCCCATTCTGCACAAAAGTTTACTTTCTTATAAAGATTCGTTCCCTTCACCTCGCCTTTTGGTTCTCCCGGACGCAAAGAAACGAATGAAGCTCAGGCTTTGGTGAGTCCTCACGGGCAGATCGGGTTGAAGCCGGACACCACAGGGAAAATGACTGGTCAACCCAAGAAAACCTGCACTTCGGAGATATGGGGAAAGGGGGCAGTTGTGTCAGTGCTTGTTTTTCCTGTTGCCCTCCACGTGGGACCGCCCGTGTCCCAGCGCGGCCTGTACTGTGAGGCCTGGCGACCACGGCCGCCTCGCCGCAGGTGCCCATCGCCAGCGCCCCAGAGGGCTGGAGCGCGGAGTGGGTCGCTGAGTGGGCATGCGCGGCGGCGGCGCCGAGCGGCACCGCGGACGCTACCCCGCGATTGGACGTCTGCGACTCACGCTGGCCAATCAGGGAGGAACCGGCGGACGGGTTCGCGGGCCAAGGAGGCGCTCGCTCCCTAAAAGTTTGCCCCACCCTCTTGATCTTTCACTTCTGGGGCGTCAGGTAGGTGAGGGAAAAGTACGCTGCTGAGGGGCACTGTCCCCATTTGCCAATTCGAGGGAAGAAGACTTAACCCCTATCTCCGCCGCTTGCCGCCCCTGCTTCATCTAAGGGCATCATCAAAAACAGACTTGGAGCAGAGTCTGCGGAACTGGGCAGAGGCACTCTTGGGATTGGGGAGGCAATTGGCAGTTACGGAAGGAAGGGGATAATTGCCCTGGGTGGAGCTAAAATTCCTTAATACAGGTTTTTCTCCTTTCAGCTGCGGTATTCCGTTTGGTCTTCCTAAAAGTCATAGTTATAAAATCGCGATGCTTTCCTTACATAGAATGCTATTGAGATTTGCTCCCAAGCATTATTGTTTAGATAAGTTTACATCAGAACTAGCTCCATCCTGTTCCCTGCAATGTATGGCAGTATGCAGTGTTTAGGTCAGATGTATGCTACAAGTATATTTCCATTTATAGGCATTGACCATCATTTACAGGAGCCAGGAATAGATTTGCCATTTTAAAGGTAAATAGATGACAAAAATAAATAAAGGTAAATAGATGACAAAAATAAATAGCCAACAATTTTTATTGGCTGTTAGAATTTTTTCTTACCAAATATTTACATTTTACAGTTAATGTAACTTGTTAACTATGAAAATGATACGTTGTCCCAATCATCAGAATTTCTCACTGGTTATGAAGCCGTTTGTGCTCACATGCAGTGTAATTCAGTAAGGATTTACCACTGCTTGGTGCTTACAGTAATAAAATATTCACAAAACACTAAATTCCTTTAAAGAATGAGATTCCCACTGGAGAAGTTTGGGACAACAGAGCATCCAAAAAATGGTGACAATAATTGATGAAACACTTTGGATTTCTTCGGAGTGCCACGAAAAATGAAAGGAGGACAGGACCTTTTCTTTCAGAGGGAAAGATAATAAATATAGAACAAATGATAGAAAAATCACAATTTTCCAAGTCAACCACAATTGATTCAGGAAAATATATCAGAGGATACTAAAAGCCACAAGGTGAAAGACTATAGGAGTGCAGGATCTTCACATCTTCACTTGGTCTCAAAGTATCAAGCCATAACTTGCTTATTACAGAAGAGACAATGTACCTTTACCCTTAAAAAAAATCACTGGCTTAAGAGATCAAAGCTAGAATCACTAATAATGGGAAAATCTAATGTAATCTGCTTACAGATGTCATGCAACTAGACATACACATCACTGAAGAAGTATTCTTTGACACCTGTGATCCCAGCACTTTGGGAGGCTGAGGTGGGTGGATCACAAAGTTAGTTCAAGACCAGCCTGACCAATATGGCGAAACCCCATCTCTACTAAAAATACAAAAATTAGCCGGGTGCAATGGCAGGCGCCTGTAATCCCCACTACTCAGGAGGCTGAGGCAAGAGAATGGCTTAAACAGGGAAGGCTGAGGTTGCAGTGAGCCAAGATCATGCCATTCCACTCCAGTCTGGGCGACAAGAGCAAGAAACCATCTCAAAAAAAAAAAAAAAAAGGAAATATTCTTGCCAAAATTGTTTAACCTGAATTTAACCAAGCTTCTGGACCCTGGATCCTAAACCAACCCCACACCCCCAAATCTGTTTAGCAATGTCTGAGTTGTCACAGTCTGAGGGGTTAGGGGTGTTATGCATCTCATGGGATGCATCAGGGATGCTGCTAAATATCTTACAAAGCACAGGACATCCCTGCACTCAGAAGAATGATGTGGCCCAGAATGTCAATAGTGCTAAGGTCTAGATGTGAGAACAAATTTAAAGGACATATAGGGGATATCTGAGCAAGTTAAACCTGAAGACACAGGCAAATAAATCCACAATGAGGCATATCCTACAGGAAACCTGTAGACTGTTAAAATGTAATTTAAGATTAAAAAAAAAAAAAAAAAGTCTTTCAAATTTAAGAGATGTAAGAAACATGAAAACAAAATGCAATCCTGAATCTAAAAAATAAGTGAAAAGACAGTTACTGGTGGCCAGTTGCAGAAATTTGAATCTGGACTGGATATTGGATAATATAATGGAATTAAGGTTTTCTTAAATGTGATAATGGTATTGTCCTTAAATTTGGAATTTTATGTCAAAAACGGATGTAGAATAATTGGGTCTACAAGTTATTTGCAAATGATTCAGAGAAATAGATATGTAACACACATATATATATATACATGTATGTAGATAAGAGCAAAAGGAGGTAAATATGGCAAAATATTAAAAATGGGTGAATCAGATGGAGGGTCCACATGTATATTATGTTTTTTTCCCTAGGTTTGAAATTTTCCAAAATAAGTGTGAATTATTAATTTCTTTCACATCAAAAATTTTAAATTGGAATTATGTTCTGTATAGATTATTTAGTGCCATGGAGAATGGTAATAGCTGACTAGATGAAAAAAATAGATTTCCATTTTTAATTAGTTAAATCATTGATTTACAGAAAGTAGATAGCTACAATGAGCTGAAGTTGGGGAAAACCCTAAGGGTGAAAAAAAAAAAAAAGTTAGGTCCAAGAAAACAAAAAGGAGGAATTAAATTAGTTTGGATTCTGTGGTATAAATTAACAGAAGAGAGAGAGACTGAAAATCCATTCACCTTTGTTTCGCCTCTATCATTTCAGTAAAGGAAAAGGTTCTCAGACTAAAAAGGGTAAAAGAATATGGATAAGTAATACAAGCTACAATAAAAAGCGAGTTGATAAGAATGCCTGGCCCTCTGAGGCAAATTATATCTTGTGACTGTAAGCCATTTGCATCCCAGGGAATACTAAAATAACCTATGAATGACTTAGATGAGCTAGTGCCAGGGGGCCCTATTATATCTGAAATCACCTGAAGAACCTATAATTTAAAAGAATGCTAGTTGCACTCACTTATAAAATGAAACATCACAATTTAATGTATCTTCTGGATACATTTTAGTTTTCCATATTCACTTTGATTTTAATAAAATTCACTTTCCAACAGTTTTAGCATGTGACTTTTCATAAGTATATACAAAAGGAATTGGCCTCTTTTGCTTTCACAGCACAAGATATAGCTGTATATATTTTAGTTACCTCATTTAATTCACTTCAAGTACTAAACTTTGCCACAATCTTTAAAGCCATTAAATTTACCAAGACTACATCTATTTTATTTTTACAGCATGGTACAGTATGCAGGAAGATCTGTTTTTTAAAGAGAAGTGACCCCCCAGAAAATGACCCCCCAGAAAAAACCTTTGTAAACTTTTGCTATAATTTTCATAGTTAATAAAATTTGCAAGATTACTTCCTGTATTTTCCCACCTTCCTCATGAAGGAACTAATGTATACAGTGGTCCATTTCTAAGACAAAGTGCCCTAAATCAGGTTAGGTCAGCAAACTACAGAAGAAACAGGATGTACTAGGCCCTGCTTGGATAGCTGATGTCTGCTTGTCGGCCTCCCACTGCCCCACTTCCTCACCCTGGCTTTATTGCCCTCACCTGAACCAAAGAAGTTTAAGATAAAAGTTTACTAGCCTGCAAAATAGCTTGTTTTGTCTGTTCTTATCAGCCTGCCCAGTTACTTAGGTCGTAAGTAAAATACTTGAAGAGCCCCTGAGCTAACTAGGATTGCAATGCATTGTGGGCTGCAATAAAATACAGCAAGACAATCCTAAAAAGAACACCGAAAGCCCCTACCCAACAATCGATAGGCGATGTCCAAGAAAATTGTGACCCAGTAGTACTCAGCCTATGTCCTGTGCACTAGGGGATAAATTGTTTGTTAAAACTGTGCTGGGTGTGCCTGCTCATCAGACACCCAATCTTGCAAGACTATTATTAAATGTCTCACTTTTGCTGTTCTCTAGGTCTCTAAGTCCATTCTTTGAGTTTGGACAGGTGAGTTTATTTCTATGCTCAGAATTACCATAGTCTAAATATGTTACAAATCACTTACTCTCTTTAAAGCTTACCACTAAACTTGGCCTAACATGCAGTCTGCTCTTCAGATCTCCCGAAGACCTCAACCACTGTCACTTACCCCTGTTCTTTGGTACATAGCCACTTTTCAGCACACTGAAAGGACTCTTATCTAAATAATTTGAATTAATTTTAGAACTAACATTTCACAGGAAACTATGTAAAAGAAAAAACATATATGCTTTATTATTCACCTTTTTTCAGCTAATGTTAACACTTACCTTTAGAGTGGTCAATAAAGTAATGAAATTCAAGGTTAAAAAATATGTTAGCACTATTTCTTTACAGACTATTTCTGCCACTCTCCACTTCTCTTGAAGTATGGGGAAGTTTTCATCCCATGTGTTCAGTGGCATCCTGTTGATGAGTAATTTTCTGTTAAATTGGTAAAAGGTAGAAACAGGACTCCAGGATATTCTGACTCTAAAACACATGCAGTTACCTCCTGTATTCATAAGGAACCGGAAATATGATAGGATCATTGACAAGGAACAGAGGATGAAATGAATGTGCTGATTTAAAATCTGAATCTAAAGTGACAAGACATGGCAATTATCAAGTAGCGATTTGGGCTGTAAAGAGGTAAGGGCAGATTTAAATACACTGATTTTAGGAGTCACTTTATAAGACATTGCTAAAGCTTTAAAAATGAATAGGCTTCTGAGGAGTTGTGAGGCTTCTGAGAAGAGGCTCAAAGATTCAGCCTAAGGAACAACCACAGTAAACAGTAGGAGAAAGAAGAAGCCACAAAAAGATAGAAAACCAATACTCAGATTTCAAGAAGGAGAACTAGAATGCTAGAAAGACAAATAATATGGATGGATTTTTAAAACAAATAGGCAAAATTAAGTTAAAATGTATCTGCTTGACAACCTATAGACAAATCCTTAATAAAAGGGCAATTTATGTAGACAGCCCAGCGTCCTCAGTTCATCCTGAACATCAATATTCACATTATTATCATCATTGCAACAAAATTTATTGAATGTGCTAAAGATTTTCTAAATAAAAATGAAGAAAGAGGATAGAGGTAATCTGACCTTCTTCATGTAGCTCTGTTGTTCAGTAACAAAGCTGGGATTTAAATTTATGTCTGTCTGACACTCATACCATCCTCTTAACCAGTACACCATTCCCAGAATGTGGGACAAGTAGACATAGCATTTCTAAGTGTTTGTGACATGACATTAAATAACATTGACTCAGTAAATATTGCCAAATGGATCCCATAATGAGAAAACTATTTCCCCTTCCATTTGTGTAACAGCCTCAAAGAGGAGGTTTCAGTTTGAAATGAGTTAACATCCCTTTAATTTTAATATCTCTTTAACTTTAATCCTTTTAATGCCAAATTCTATTTTTAACAAAAAGATACCAGGCCTCAAGGTCAGAATCTTTTGTAGACTACAATATCTAGCTATAATTTAATATTATATTTATGTTTTATACTTATGACACATTCTGATTTTTTATTTACAGTAGTGAATAAAGTTTTCTGTTTAAATACACACAAGGCCAGGTGCAGTGGTTCACATCTATAGTCCCAGGATTTTGGGAGGCTGAGGTAGAAGGATCACTTGAGGCCAGCCTAGGTGACATAGCAAGATTCCATCCTTCAAAAAATTTGAAAATTAGGCATGGTGTTGTATGCCTGTAGTTCTAGCTACTCAGGAGGCTAAGGCAGGAGGATCACTTGAGCCCAAGAATTCAAAGCTACAGTAAGCTATAATCATGCCATTGCACTCTAGTCTGAGTGACAGAATGAGAGCCTGTCTCTAAATTAAAATAAATAATAAAAAATTGGCCGGGCGCGGTGGCTTACACCTGTAATCCCAGCACTTTGGGAGGCCGAGGCGGGTGGATCATGAGGTCAAGAGATCGAGACCATCCTGGTCAACATGGTGAAACCCCGTCTCTACTAAAAATATAAAAATTAGCTGGGCATGGTGGCGCACGCCTGTAGTCCCAGCTACTCGGGAGGCTGAGGCAGGAGAATTGCTTGAACCCAGGAGGCGGAAGTTGCGGTGAGCCGAGATCGCGCCATTGCACTCCAGCCTGGGTAACAAGAGCGAAACTCCGTCTCAAAAAAAAAAAAAAATACACATAAGATTTTTTAAAGTGTTCAAAAACTTAGTTTTTTTATTGTTTTATTTTTATTTTTTTGAGATGAAGTCTTGCTCTGTTGCCCAAGCTGGAGTACAGTGGCACGATCTGGGCTCACTGCAACCTCCACCTCCCAGGTTGAAGCGATTCTCCTGCCTCAGCCTTCCAAGTAGCTGGGACTACAGGCACGTGCCACCGTGTCTGGCTTTTTTTTCTTTTTTGTATTTTTAATAGAGACAGGGTTTCACTATGTTGGCCGGGCTGGTCTTGAACTCCTGAACTCGTGATCCTGCTGCCTCAGCCTCCCAAAGTGCTGGGAATACAGACGTGAGCCACCATGCCCGGCTCAAAAACTTATATTAAGCAAACGATAATACAGGAAGTGTTTGGATGTGGCAAAATTGTAAGGGAAGCTTGTGGATAATTATAATTTAGGGAAAACTGCACTATCTTACTTTATTTATTTATTTATTTATTTTTTGACATGGCATCTTGCTCTGTCGCCCAGGCTAGAATGCAATGGCACAGTCTCAAGTCACTGCAGCCTCTACCTCCCAGGTTCAAGCGATTCTCCTGCCTCAGCCTTTCGTAGCTGGGATTATAGGCGCCCGCCATCAAGCCTGGCTAATTTTTGTATTTTTAGTAGAGATGGGGTTTCACCATGTTGTCCAGGCTGGTCTCGAACTCCTGACCTTATGATCTGCCCACTTTGGCCTCCCAAAGTGCTAGGATTACAGGCGTGAGCCACCACTCTGGGCCAACTATCTTCCTTCTTTCTGTGAAATCCTTAATCATAAACTTGGTGCCAAAGATCAGTTATTTATCTTCCACCCACCATTCCTGTAACTCATATAGCACTGATCCAAGCAATACTTTCCAGGTGATTATCCCTCTCACATAGTAGATTTTTTTTTCTCTCTTTCTTTTTTTCAGAATCCCTGTTCACCAGCTGTCAGAGCACTAGCTGTCATACTGAGCTTCGATGGGATGTTTGTAGGCCAAAAAAGTAGAGCTGAGCTTTGAAACCCTGCTCTCACAGTCCAACTGTCTTCATTGACTTTCTAGGGCTAAAAATATGAGACCTCTGAATCACCAGCCAGGAGTCACTTCTGCTAATTTTTGTTATAAAGGACTTAGGGGCAAATTTTCTAAGCACAGAAGAAATGAAACAGGTTTACATTCAGTTTTATGCCTAAAATATTTCAGTAATAAATAAACACTGCTACTACTTTTCAAAAGCTAGTTTTTTAAAAACCTTTCTGCACTTTCAAAACTATCCAATTAACATCTGTATTCCACTTCTTGAGAACAACTTTTAGAAATAAATCGGCTCATGTAGAGGAGTATCATGTAAGCAGGGATTAAGGGAGGTGTTGGGTGGAGATTGCATTATTCAATTAGTACTTCTATAAAAAAAAATTTGGCACGTAACTCTTCTATGACCTACATAAGGAAAGTTCCTGCAGTGAGAGCCACACCTTTTTATGTATTAGCTCATTTAATCTTAGCAACAAAGCTATTTCAGGGGTGTGTGCGTGTGCGTGTGCGTGTGCGTGTGCGTGTGTGTGTGTGTGTGTCTAAAATCCTCAGGAAACTAGGGCCCAAATTTGCATGCATAGTTGGTGAGTGACAGAGCTGGGGTTTGAGCCTAAGCTTTGAATAACACATTATCCACCCTCCAACCACCTACTCAAACCTGTCTCCATTTCCACAAATCATCCCAACTACACTTTTGTGATTTTTGTAAATTTCCAAACCACCCGAGATTTTAGGTGGCATGAGGAGACTTGGAATTTAGGGAAAATTAAGATTCTGGGAACAACAAAGACTGAGACAGTAAACAGGACATCCAGATTAAAGAGGCTGAGGATGTCTAAATTACAACAACAAAAAAACCTGTAAGAATTATTTCACCAACGGAACAGAACAGAGGCCTCGGAGGCAACACCATACATCTACAACCATCCGATCTTTGACAAACCTGACAAAAACAAGCAATGGGGAAATGATTCCCTGTTTAATAAATGGTGTTGGGAAAGCTGGCTAGCCATGTGCAGAAAGCAGAAACTGGACCCCTTCCTGACACCTTACACTAAAATTAACTCCAGATGAGTTCAAGACTTAAATATAAGACCTGACGCCATAAAAACCCTAGAAGAAAACCTAGGCAAAACCATTCAGGACATAGACATAGGCAAGGCCTTCATGACCAAAACACCAAAAGCATTAGCAACAAAAACCAAAATAGACAAATGGGTCCTAATCAAACTCCACAGCTTCTGCACAGCAAAAGAAACGGTCATTAGAGTGAATCAGCAACCAACAGAATGGGAAAAAAATTTTGCAATCTACCCGTCTGACAAAGGGCTGATATCCAGAATCTACAAAGAACTAAAACAGATTTACAATAAACATATGAAAAAATATTCATCATCACTGGTCATTAGAGAAATGCAAATCAAAACTACATTGAGATACCACCTTACCCCAGTTAGAATAGCGTTCATTAAAAAATCTGGAGACAACAGATTTTGGAGAGGATGTGGAGAAATAGGAACACTTTGACACTGTTGGTGGGAATGTAAATTAGTTCAGCCGTTGTGGAACACAGCGTGGCCATTCCTCAAGGACCTAGACATAGAAATTCCATTTGACCCAGCAATCCCATTACTGGGTATATATCCAAAGGATTATAAATTGTTCTACTATAAGGGCACATACACATGAATGTTCATTGCAGCACTGTTTACAATAGCAAAGACCTGGAACCAACCCAAATGCCCATCAATGATAGACTGGACAGGGAAAATGTGGCACATATACACCATGGAATACTATGCAGCCATCAAAAATGATGATTTCGTGTCCTTTGTAGGGACGTGGATGAACCTGGAAGCCATCATTTTCAGCAAACTGACACAAGAACAGAAAATCAAACGCTGAATGTTCTCACTCATAGGTAGGTGTTGAACAGTGAGAACACATGGACATAGGGAGGGAAGCATCACACACTGGGGTCTGTCAAGGGGAACTAGGGGAGGGACAGTGAGGGGTGGGGAGTTAGGGAGAGATAGCATGGGGAGAAATACCAGATATAGGTGATGGGGAGGAAGGCAGCACATCACACTGCTATGTGTGTACCTATGCAACAATCTTGCATGTTCTTCACATGTATCCCAGAACCTAAAATGCAATAAATAAATAAATAAAAAGAATTATTTCAAATGGATTTTTCAGTAAATGTTTGTGTAAAGGGTGATAAATTGGGTAATTTTATAATGCTTCAGCTTGACTTAGAATGAAAAGAGGAAAAGCTAACAGTTCAGATATTTTTAGACAAAAGTTACCCAAATGAATCCTTCTAATACCCTCTAGAATCTAAGTCAAATAAAATCATTGCTAATTAACTGTTAACTATAATTTATTAGTGTGATTCAAATATTCACAAGCTGTATCTGCCAGCAGGTTCAACTGAGGCTACATAAGCAATTGTACTCAATTTTATTGTCACTCTTCACAACATAACTATAGGATTTAAACAACATCCCCCTAACCCCTGTTCTCTCAGACAATAATTTATCAGTTTTGCCAGGATTCCTCAGGGGTTGTGTAAACATGGACAGCAAAAGTCCTCCACTGTCTTCTGTTCTGACCCCTTGTTTCTATCTACTGTTCAAAACCCACTAGAGAAAAGTAACTGGGCCGGGCACAGTGGTTCATGCCTGTAAACCCAACATTTTGGGAGGCCAGGGAGGGTGAATCACTTGAGCCCAGGAGTTCAAGATCAGCATGGGCAACATGGCAAAACCTCATCTCTACAAAAAGTACAAAAATTGGCCAGTCAGTATGGTGCACACCTGTAGTCTCAGCTACTCTGGAGGCTGAGGTGGAAGGATCGCTTGAGCCCAAGAAGTCAAGGTGCACGCAGTAAGCTGTGATCCCACCATTGCACTCCCGCCTAGGCGACAGAGTGAGACTCTGTCTCAAACAAATAAAAAAGAGAGAGACAGAAGTAACTGGATATTATCATTGTTTCAGTGATGACTTCTTTGAAAATGCTGTTTCTCTGCATAGAAGATTGTCTGTTACCCCAAACCTGTACAATCTCAATATGTCAAACAGCAATGTGTTCTCTCCTCTGTTTCTGTGCATGAAATAAGGACTGTCTCTCTCCAAATCCCAGTTGCATTTGAGTCACCTGGGACCCAGAGAAGTTCCACTTACTCTCCGGTCTGACAAGTTCCTTTTGGAACAGGTTTTGCCTCAGCTGTCTGGTTCCCTACCACCCAAACAAGAAACTGCATGGAACAGGGTTGAGGAACAGACACTACACTGTCCTCTCCCCTCCTCTGTCTTGCTGAAACTGACCCATACATCCAACTAATACAAGTAGACGTCAGGGAGATCACAAGCTAGACTGTTTATCAGACACACCTACATTTTTTTTCAAGTCTGGATTATTTTAAATAATTAATTTTAAATTTCAACTTTTAGATACGAGGGGTACATATGCAGGTTTGTTACCTTTGTGTATTGCACCTAGGTACCCATTAAGTAGTTTTTCAACCCACACCCACCTCCCCACCTCCCTTCTCCAGTAGTCCACAGTGTCTGTTGTTCCCATATTTATGCCCATGTGTTCTTAATGTTTAGCTCCCACTTATAAGTAAGAACATGTGGTAATTGGTTTTTCTCTTCCCACATTAATTTGCTGAGGATTGTGGCCTCTTGGTCCATGTTGCTGAAAAAAAACATTATTTCATTCTTGTTTATAGCTGAGTGGTATTCCATGGTGTATATGTACCACCTTTTCTTTATCCAGTCCACCATTGATGGACACCTAGGTTGATTCCATGTCTTTGCTATTGCAAATAGTGCCGCAATGAACATATAAGTACATGTGTCTTTTTGGTATAATAATCTATTTTCCTTTGGGTACATACCCAGTGAAGGAATTGCTGGGCCAAATGGTAAATATGTTTTAAGTTATCTGAGAAATCTTCAAACTGTTTTACATTTCCTTAGTAAAATGAACTAATTTACATTTCCACCAACAGTGCATAAGCATTTCCTTTTCTCTCAACCTCACCAAAATCTGTTGTTTTTGACTTTTAAATAATAACCATTCTGACTGTGTGAGATGGTGTCTTATTTTGGCTTTGATTTGCATTTCTCTGATGATTAGTGAGGTTGAGCTCTATTTTGTATGTTTGTTGGCCACTTGTATGTCTTCTTTTGAGAAGTGTCTGTTCATATCCTTTGTGTATTTTTTAATAGGGTTGTATTTTGCTTGTTGATTTAAGTTCCGTTAAGCTACACTTTTGTCAGATGCATAATTTGTGATTATTTTTTTGCATTCTATAGGTCATCTGTTTGTTGATACTTTCCTTTGCCTTGCAGAAGCTTTTCAATTCAATTAGGTTCCACTTGTCAATTTTTGTTTTTGTTGCAATTGCTTTTGGAATTGTAACAAAAAATTTATTTGCCAAGGCCAATGGTGAGAAGGGTATCTCCTAGGTTTTCTTCTGTGATTTTTATAGTTTGAGGTATTACATTTAAATATTTAAACCATCTTAAGTTAATTTTTGTATATGGTAAGAGATGAGGGTCCAGTTTTATTCTTCTGCATATGGCCAGTTAGTTATCCCAGTACCACTTATAGAGTAGGGAGTCTTTTCCCCATTGCTTGGTTTTGTCTACCTTGCTGAAGACCAGATGGTTGTAGGTCACACTACATTTTTTAAAATCCCAGCTGGGGAATATCCTCCTTTAATATTAGTTTTAATAATTCAGATTTCTCATATAAGGATTGTATTTTATGCAAATAAATAGTTTAAAATACATCATTTTTAAAATCAATGAACAAACTCAGACATATTTTATAGGATATTTGTAAGGTAAATTACTATAAAATTGATATTCAGCAATATCTCTTGACACTGGAATAACCAGGTGAATGGCTCCACACAGATAGTCTATTTCTCTAAGACTCTATTTTTCATTCAAGGGGTTAAATTGCTTGAAGAGGTGGATAATAAAAATCCTCTAGACCCTTCTACTTTCTATGATTTTAAATAATAAAAGTATAATTTTATTATTTCATATTATTGATAGGTTAGCAAATTGCATTTTCCAAAGATGGCTGCACCAATATATATCTCATCCCATGCTCTTCTTACAGTGTGGCATCCCATGCCTCCAGTGAAAGGTGGAGTTTCTATTTCCTCCTTTTGGATCTTTGTAATTTCCTTGACCATAAGAATGTGGCAGAGGTAAGGCTGCTTTATTTCTGAGACTAGATTGCAAAAGGTAAAACACTTTCTGTGTAGTGTCTCTCTATCTCTCTGTCTTTCTTTCTTATCTATCATCTATTAAGCTATCTTGATGTTTGTCCTTAGACTCCAACCACTATGTTGTAAGTAATCTCAGGTGACACAGAGAAGCCACCTGTAGGTGTTTCAGCCGGCAGCCCTAGTTAGGTCCCCAATCAAAAATCACCATCACCTGCCAGACATGTGAATGAAGGAGCCTTCACATAATGCAGCCATCAACCTTTGAGTCTTTCAGCTGAGGCTTCAGATGCCATGGAGCAGAGGAAAGCTGAGTCTGTGTGCCCTGATGTCCTGCCCACAGGAACCGTGAAAAGGAATAAGTGATTATTACTGTTTAAAGACATTATGTTTTGGGGCAATTTGTTAGGCAGCCAAAACCACCTGAGTCTGGGCTATGAGAAACGAACATGTTTGGATTGGCTTCCGTGTGCCAGACGCTCTTGCTGGACCTTTATTTGCATCATTTCCCTTAGTCTGCACTATGCCTCAACATTTGCTTTTATGCTGTATTATTGGACATATCTTGATTTATTATATGCCAAGCTTTTGGTCAGTAATGCAACTCCCAGATATATCATTGTCCCTTGGGACAATTTCCTAGTGCTCTTCCCAGAAATGCCCAGTACTGTCTGATTAGTACAGAGGAAAAACTACCATGAGGTGATGAAGACCCACTTCAGGGTTGATGCTCACAGAGAAATGTTTTGACAATGACAATTTTTAAAAACCTGTTTTTAAAATGATTAAAACGGAACTCTAAACTGCCTTCCATCTCTAAGGTTTAATCCAAAATTATCAATATATTTATTTTTCAGATGCCTTTAAAAGGAGGAATGTTAGTCACTACTCTGAAATATTTCTTCTACCTCTTCTCTCATATTAACTAATATCTATCTTTCTTACTTTGCTGAAGGCAATAAATATAAGGAAAATGTGGTCAAATGAGATAGAGGTGTTTACTCTTTTAATTCTTAAAAAGTAATTTTTATGCCAGACTTTTATTTGTTACAGAAATGTAGCTGTTTTATGGCTAGTATTTGAGTAAGATACCTGTTTTCTCCAATCTGTCTCTCTTATGCAAAAGTAAAAATAATTAATATAGTAATATAGCAATATTATAGTAATATATGTTTACTTTTATACATTATTGGTTCCAATTAGTATCACACATATTAATTATAAATATTATTTTTATTGACATGTTTGGGTTGGAAATTCTACCCATATTTAGTTCAAAGCAAAATTCAACTGCTTTGTTTTAGCAGTCATCAACAAATGGAACAGATGCAACATTTTGTTGACAGGTAATATTTGATGGTATATTGGATCTTGAGCTAGAAACACTGGTGAATATTAAAGTTATAAATAATTCAATCCTTTATAGCATCAGTGAATGACCTCAAAATAACCCTGTTCAATCTGAAGCCACTGGTAATGACCCAAAGTTCGGCAAGGCCAAATCATACTCTGCCGTATATAGTAACACACTGTAATATAGAGTTTCAACAAAGAAAATACAGTTAGCATAATAATGAAGCATTAGCTGAATGCCCATGGAATTGTTGACCTAAAACAAAAAAAAATCCACAGAAAGGATGTGTTCTGAAGGATGCTGACAAAGTAATTAAAATAACTAGAGAAATAGACCTAACTAAAAACTTAGCAAGTCGTAAGTCCTGTCTTACTCACTTAACCTCTAACTTATGCTCTCGAATCCTCACAGACTATTTTAATATTCAGTTATTCAATAGAGTAAATTCAGAGCATCGCCGTATTTAATTCCAGTGCTCCTGCCACAACCACCTCTACCCCAATATCAAACTTTTCATGATTTCCATAATGTGCTAATGGCTTTTCCTCTTTGGCTTTTTACTGATTGTGCCCTTAGTCTTGAATGCTGCTCTTCTCATTTGTGCCTCAGATAACACTTCTTTGAACCCTTGCCTGATTTACCCAAATGCAACTGTTGCCTCCTGCCCGTATGCTCACATGCCATTTTGTATATCCATTTTCTATAGCTCTCACTGTACCATGCTGATATCATTTATGTGTTTATGCATTCAGTTCTGAGGTGTGAGGTGCTTAACGTCAGCAACCATTATTTCATCCTTTTACTACCCAGCCTGATCACAGAGCTTGAAAGTTAGACATGCAGATTTGAATTTTGGCTCCACCTTTTATTGGCAGTGCGACACTGGAAGAGCTACTTAACTTCTCTCAACCCTCATTATCTTTTCATGGACCATCTTGGTAGGATTATTTTGAGGATTAAATGAGATAAAATACACATACAGTGTCCGTTACACAGCAAGTACTCAGTAAACACTGATCACCGAATGTGATAAACGTGTGTCCTCATCTAACTAACTTGAAATGTTTATTCCAGGTTAGAGAAGACTGAAATTAGTGTAGTAATAGCATTCGTCCTTTCTAGATTAAAAGAACTGCATGTACTTTTCCATAGACATGTTCAAATGTTATCAAACAAATCACCAAGCATCATAAGAAGCAATGAAAATAATTCCTAGAGGCATCACCTGAGTCAATAACTTTATCAGTCAAAATGATCACCACCATCATCATAATAGTTATCAATTACACTAAATGTATTCCCCCACAATTTTTCTCTGTTAATATGAAGTGTATTTAAATTAACTGAATCCATTTTAATTAATGTTTACATTTATATATGAAAATAGACTCATTACCATTATAGCAAATATTATTTTATTATATATAAAAGATTCAAAATATATTAATGATTTAATGTCTTTAGGGATGGTGATTAATGGCAAAAAATAGGAATCATGGCAAAGTAGTTTTCTTTAAAAAAAAAAAAAATATATATATATATATATATATATGCGCACACCTGTATTCCAAAATATGTATCTGCAGGCTCACATAAACAGAATCACAAAGCAAAAGCTACAGTCAAGGATGGCAAAGGAACTCTGTGTAGAATCAGACTTGTCTCCTGCTACTGGACAAGGAACTTGAAACATTTTGCATTTTGCAGTTTCAAACTAGGCTATAAGGAAAAATTTCATCTGGATAACTGATTGGATATAGGTCAATCTTATTTATAAGTCTGGACCGTAATAATAATCAGCTGCCAATTTCCTGAAGCCATAGTCCTGATACAGGACAGTGGCTGAATGAATGACAAGTGCCTGTGTGGAGTAAAGTCAGAAGTCGGGACTGGAGGGTGTTCCTGAAATAGGGCAAAAATGAATCCTGTCTCTCCCAAACACGCCAACTCTTTGTCTTTTAAGGACTGGAGATATTTTCCACCTCCCCATGTGAAAATGCAAAACAAAAACCCAAAAAACAAAAGTACCACACCAAAGACAGACCCTACCACTGAAAAACAGCATATGGGAGGCAGAAAGTAGGAACTGAGCTGAATAATAATACTGTTCAGGATTTCCTTCCATTATCACTGCTCTTACTTCCTGTACTTAAGCTCTGTTCAGAAATGTCAAGCAAATAGCCAGTATAGTATTACCCCTAAATGCACATTATATCCGCAAATGGATGGTGAGGGGACAGGTTTGATCCTTGTCATATATAAACTGTAAGGCTTTTAAAATTCAAGGCTATTAGAAAAGCCTGCATAAATTCATTCATTCTCAAATTTAGACCTTCCAGCGGATGATAGCTTTAAAATTGATCATTCTAACTTTAACAAAGTAAAACGAGATTTCCCAGGAAGTATTAATAAGTGGAATTAAACATAGTAGATAAAAATGTAAATAGATTAATAATGCCTGGAATGTTTATCATTTTGTTCATTACACCTCAAACTACTTTTAAGTCTATTTTTTTATTTACGTTGCTGCATTGTATCTATATTTTTTAAATTTTCATTTTATTAATAAAAAAACTAAAAATATATATGGGAAGTTAGGTAGCTGTTTCTTGGTCATTTTAAATGGGTAGAAAGAAATCAGAGATCCTGAGCAATTCAAGTTACTACATATATTAGTTGTCATATATTCTCAAGAAATGGCCCTAACTGTAACCCTTGTTATACTGTTGACCAATTGCAAAAAGGTAAAAGGTTTAAAAAAAAAAAAAAAACAGTCATTTTTGCAATATCTATTGATGCCACAAGGTGGTAATAAGTTAGGCTCATTAGAGTAGTTACAGGAATATGACAGACCCAGTAGAAAAATGCCTTTCTCTTTGAAGGAAATATATTGAGGGACATGCAGTTAAAAGCTGATCAGGGTAGAAATAATATTGGAGACTTTTGTTCACACCAGAACCCTGTCAAAGACTTACTTTCTCCCATTTCTCTCTTCTATTTTCACTTAAACCCATCTCATTTTGTTCCCATTACTCCTTTGAAACTGCTCAAGGTCATCATAGACCTGCACGCTGCCAAATCCAGTACTGAGTCTTTCCTTACCCTTTTGTGGCCAATCAGTCTTGACAATGGGCACAGTTGAGCACTTCTTCCACTCCGACACATATTCTTCACTTGGCTTGCAAGACACCATAGTCTCTTGATTTTCCTCCTACAAGAAAGACAACAACTTCATAGAAATGGACCCTTGAAAGATTTTAAAAATGTATCTATTCTCTGAAAGACATTCTTTGTCAATGCCCTCTAATCCAAGATGGCAGAGTGTTCAGTGACCTGAAGATCTGCAGTATTATACATATAAAATTATCTGCACTAAGCTAGACAAATATAAACAAAGCAGGAGGTGGGAAACCTAGCATGAGATGAAACTGGCACTTAAAAGAAGTCTGATGATCAGGCCCCTACCTAGCATCACTTGTTATAAATTCTCTTCCTGCAAAAGGGGATAATTGTTTTAATTGCAAATATTCGTTGGGCTTGCAGCTTGGGGGCCAAAAGCCAATTAGCCATTGCCTCCTCACTGGCAGACCATATGTTCACTGTGCTGGGAGACAAAGGCCAAGATAAAGGTCTTGAAACTGAGGTCTAAGCAAATAAGGAAGGGACCGAAGGTAGCTGCTAAGAAGTACAAATCCCCTGCCCAGATTCTATGTTGAAAGACTCTAACTTCAGATCAACAGATTTGGTGATTAACCCATGGAATTACAGACTCAGAGCTAACTAAATTCTTTTAACAACTGTACTGCCAGCCGGGTGCGGTGGCTCATGCCTGTAATCCTAGCACTTTGGGAGGCCGAGACGGGCAGATCACGAGGTCAAGAGATCGAGACCGTCCTGGCCAACATAGTGAAACCCCGTCTCTGCTAAAATATAAAAATTAGCTGGGAGTGGTGGTGCACGTCTGTAGTCCCAGCTACTCGGGAGGCTGAGACAGGAGAATTGCTTGAACCCGGGAGGCAGAGGTTGCAGTGAGCCGAGATCTTGCCACTGCACTCTAGCCTGGCGCCTGGCAACAGAGCAAAACTGTATCTAAAAAAAAAAAAAAAAAAAAAACTGTACTGCCAAAGAAATTCCAAGGTTAATAAACAAAAGTTAATAATCACTAAACCCCTAAGTCCTATGTAATCCCTTCACTTCCTCTCAGTGATGTCCTGGTAGAATGGTAAAACTGGCTATGGAGAGCATTTGATTCACAGTTGCTGATTCCTGTGGTATAAATACTCCCTTCAGGGCCATTTCAAGCTATTAACATGTGTCACTGAATACAGACTTGGGAAGGGATGTATACAATTGCCTGTCACACTGCTGCCTCCTCTTCACCAGGAAGTGGGCTGTAAAGATGTACATCCACCACAGAGGGCTTCCTTCCTAGTATTCATTATCTATGAAGGATACTAGACTTGGGAGATCTTGCCAGAGGGAAGAAAGAGGTGGCTAAATTCACTGTCCAAAAATTTTCTTTTACTACCCAGTTAAGTTCCTCATCTACAGGACATGATATATACTATTGGGTCAGTCACCACTTAAAGGAGTTTCCCATTCTATCCTCTTCTCTAAAAGAGTTCTAAGTTGATATTAGCCTATTTCCATCTACAATTGCATTTTGAGTGTGTTGGGAGGGATTAGATATATTATTTATCTGTAAGTTCTTAGACCACGAGAATTGTATTAAGACCTAAACATGCTGATATGGTTTGGTTCTGGGTCCAAATCTGCCCAAATCTCATGTCGAATTATAATCCCCAGTGTTGTAGGTGGGGTCTGGTGAGAGGTGATTGGATCAGCAGGTTTCCCCTTTGGTGCTGTTCTTGTGACAGTGAGTGAGTTTTTGTGAGATCTGGTTGCTTAAAAGTAGCACCTTTCCCCCCTACCCCCGCCTCCCACTTCTTCGTGCTCTGGCCACATAAGATGAGCCTGCTTCCCCTTTGCCTTCCCATGATTGTAAGTTCCCTGAGGCCTCCCTAGAAGCAGATGCTGTCATGCTTCCTGTACAGTCTGCAGAACCATGAGCCAGTTAAACCTCTTTATAAATTACCCAGTCTCAGGCATTTCTTTATAGCAGTGTAAGAACGAACTAATACACATGCATAACCCAGATATTGTAGATTTAGAATTAGATGCAATAATTGTACCAAATGCTGAATTGTCTCTCTTGGGGGAAGGCATGGGTACACATGAAAGTACATCATTATATAGCAATTTAAGACATGTTTGGAAGTTTATATACATGAAGAAAGATGCATAGTGATGTTAAGTTAATCAAAGGGTAGGTCCCAAATGATTTTCTTAAATCATTACCCCTCTTTTGCTAACAATATTGTATTTGAATTTCTTTTGGGTTCCCATTTCTCTGCAACTCTTGCATCCATGTGGTTCAGGTACAATTTCATCTCTTGTTCCAGGGATAAAGCATTTGACTTAGGCCTGACCAATCAGACTACTAATTTCCCCTAGGGAATGATTTGATTTGGGATGGAAATGTGACCCCAGTTGGTCCAGTAAGAATAGCATCTAGGATTCTGCTGGAGTTACCAAGAGACATGTTCCCTTTTCTCATATGTTTAAGTCTTGGATGATACAAGCCCGGAGATCCAAGAAGCCACGACTTGAGGCCTTAAAATGATGCCCCACAATGGACAGCATGGTTGAAAAAGATAACTTGATTTACTGTAGCCCTTGAATCAAACCAAATCTGAAGAAATTAGGTTGTAGAGACCAATACATTCTTCAGCCTGTTTGAATTGGAATTTCTCTTACAACTGTTTTAAGCACTTCTCTGATGTACTTCAAATTGAAGAGAAAAAATTTACACTAGATTATAGAAGTTGCATATTTAATATGCATGGTTCATCTGATTCCCTTAACCACTTCTACCTCTTTAGTTAAATGGAATGCTACCTTTTCAAAAAGAAATCAAATAACATTTAGGAAAGCTAGAATACTGATTATTTTATTCCCTATCTGATACCTTTCAGAAACTCCAGAAAATTAATGCGTAAAGAAAATGCTGGCATATTTTATGTTTACCAGATAAAATTGAAAAATTGAGATTTCCACAATAGCTGCTTTCTGTGACATTGCCCCAACTGTGTCATCTTATGATAAAAAATTCTACTGCCATTGAGATCTTGTCTTTGCTGTGTTTTGTTCAATTTTATTGACCCACAGACCTGTCATATTTTTTGTCTCTACAGAAATCAGATGATAATAGCTCATATAATTAAATAATTTATATTATCATAATAAGGGAAGGACATACTCTACTAAAATATCCTTTTTTGCCATGAGATACAGAAATATTTTAGAACAAGCTGACCTTTTCATGTCCTTCAAATAAAAGTTGTACTGGAAACTACTACTTTGCCAAATTATTCCAACAATGCTAGTTAAATTTCTTTTCTTTTCTTTTTTCTTTTCTCTTTTCTTTTTATAGAGACGAAGTTCCACCATGTTGGCCAGGCTAGCCTTGAACTCCTGACCTCAGGTGGTCCACCAGCCTCGGCCTCCCAAAGTGCTGGGATTATAGGCGTGAGCCACTGCACCTGGCCTAGATTTCTTTTCAAGTCATAAGTGAAACTGAATATTTCTTGAAAGAGCATGGGACTTTGAACATGGCAAAGCTTTGCCTACATTAAAGATGATTAAGTATCATCTGATATAGGTAAATTGCAATCCAGACATAAATTAATCTGTCACCCAGGCTGGAGTGTAGTGGCATGATCTTGTCTCATTGCAAACTCCGCCTCCTGAGTTCAAGGGATTCTGATGCCCCAGCCTCCTAAGTAGCTGGGATTGTAAGCGTAAGCCACCATGCCCAGCTAATTTTATTCTATTTTTAGCAGAGACAGAGTTTCACTGTGCTGGCCATGCTGGTCTCGAACTCCCGACCTCAGATGATTCACCCGCCTTGCCCTCCCAGAGTTCTGGGATTACAGTCTGAGCCACCATGCCTGTCCCTAAAAATCTATAAAATAAAATAATGTGTTTGCTCTTCCATTGAAAAAAGATGCCACATTTTCTTTTTCTCATTTCTTAAATAATATGGTGCTTTATGTTTAAAACATATTTCATTTTCTCATTCTTATATTCATAAGGAATGCTTTCTCTCCACTACATGAGGGTCAGATAACTTCCAATGTTAAATCTTAAAATACCAGAACTCAGTTAGTAGTCTCATGAAGACTAGAGTTTGAACAGGAAGAAAGCAAAGAATTTGTACAACACAAGAAGAAAAGAAATTAGGCACCAAATTTGTATCTGAAGAAAAATATTTAGACACTTAGTAGGTTACAGACATTCAAAGGACAATTGCTCTTAATTCGCTGGGCTGGGGCTAGACCAGCACAGTCAGAGTTCAGAGGGTACTTCTCGGAGAATAATAAAATTAAATAAAATGCTGCATCTAGTCCTCTGGCTTCACATTCTTTTTCCCTTAAGACAGAAGCCTATTTACTGTGCCTGTTTTATAAAATTTGCAAAAGAAGATTACTTTACTCACTGAGCTGAAGCCATTGTCTCTTTCTACTATGCATTGTCCTTGCAGGCACTTTGGGGACTTGCCTAAGGGGAACTGTGTTGGGTTACATTTAGTTTGGGTTTGGTGGCCTGTATTTATGTGGTTTCTAGGTACTTTTCTTACATAGTTTTTAATGCTGGCTATTCCAGTGTAGGAATGTCTTCCAGAAATCTTCTGACAACACATTGTGCAGAACCACCGAACATCTTAACACAAAGACCTCAATTACAAATTGGTTACAATGACTGCCATCAGATCAAAAGATCTTGAAAGGTCAATCCTACTTTATAGAGGCTTCCCAAATTTAGCAGCAGTATTAAAATTGTACATCAACCTTATCAAGAAGGAGTTGTGAAGCTGAAACTTTTCTAAACTTTCAATTAAGAACCGAGTTTGTGTCAACTAAGCTAAGGAGAAGACTGAATCATCTTTCTCTTCCCTGGATAAAAAAAAAATTATATTCTGAAATTATTTTCTTTTTTTACTTAATTTATGTTTCATTTTTTGTTATAGAGACGGGGTTTCACCATGTTGCCCAGGCTGGTTTCGAACTCCTGACCTCAAGTAATCCACCCGCCTCGGCCTCCCAAAGTGCTGGGATTACAGGCGTGAGCCAACACACCTGGCCCTGAAAT